TTGATTTGAATATTATGAATAAAATGTTCCATAATAGTCTGTAAAGGCCTTTGTTCACTTCAACTTGTGTTTACTAATTTACGGTATAAACAGGTCTGACACCAGACGGATGTTAGTGAACAAACATCTGTACGGCGGTGTACCTGCATCCTGCTGACCTCAGCTGTGATGATCCAGACTTTCAAAATCCCCGTCACTGACACTGCCACCACTGTGTCCTCTATATAGAGACAGAGTCAAAGTTAGCGTCTCATGGTTAATTATACAAGCCTTCGCCTGTAAACAGTTAACATAACAAATCTAAAAGTAGAGTAAGAAGTAGAAACAATACAGGAAGACACAATTTACCACTGAAGTATTTTTAAAGAGAAAAGACTCCACTGCTTTGTTTATATACTGAAGCAATCAATGCCAAGAACAGTGCGGATGGTCATCAAACTGTGTCATCAATCTGAGACAGACCAACCGGACGTAAACCACATAATCCATTTGCAAAAATATGACTAAAATGTCTACAGAGTGGAGTGGTGGTGAGACGCGACCACGGGAGCTGTTGCAGCAGGCTAGATATAATTCCAACACTTTTGACCTCTTGTTGCTCGTAATGGTTGGTAATGGTAAATGTGATAGAAACGTAGACACATGTGGTCTGAACCTGATTAAAGGCACTGACCAGCGCATGTCAACCCGACCTCCCCTCCAGAAACAAATCCCATCCGTTTAATCTCTTCTTTTCCAGCTGTGTGTCTCACCTTGGGTTCGGTGGGATCGGATGATGCTCATGGAGCTGATCCAGTCAGGAGAGATCTTGGACACCAGTGAGTACAGGACCTCAAGGCTGGTGGCGTCCACCACAAGGATTTCTGGGTAGTGGCCATTACAAAGCAGACGTCCCTCCCTCTGTGTGCCGATGGTGAACTGATAGAACTGGAGAAGCAAAGGGGAGCAGGAGAAAGAATAGCACTTATTAGCCTTCCAGCTGCTTTTCCTGGTGTGCTTTTAATATGAAAATCTGCCAGATCTGTCAAAAAAACAGCAATATAGAAGCAACTGGAAATACCTAGGGGCTGAAAGGAGCATTTGTGTTAAAAAGAGAGAGTGGTGAGTATGACGTGACTTGTACTGGTGGACTGGCTCTAGTATGACAGTAACTGTACACTGTTCTTCATCCATCCTCTATTGGAGACTGGCCTTTATTTGTTCATGCTTATGTGAGTCTAAGCCACTATTTGAGAATCCAGGTATGTGAGCGACTCTTACCTGTATGCCAGTGTGAGCGCAGGCCAGCTTGGTGAACTCAATACAGCGTCCATCATTCACATCCCACAGACACATCTCTCTGGAAACATCAACAAACTGAAGTTAGACATAAATGACAGTGGGAACCGTCTTAGTCAGTTTATTTATAGAGGATATTTAAACAGAACAAATTTTGGTCACAGACTACTTCCATAGGAATACATAAAACACTCTATCCTTCTGTATATGTTCATCCGACCCCATGTTGACCTCAGTAGTGCTGCAACCACTGATAAACTACAGTCACCTAAGATGAAATGAACTGATTGCAACCACTGACAGTATATAATTAGTGGACAGATCTTCAGTGTCTGTGAAGTGAAGCTAAGTGTCTTTAACCTGCATTCCATGTAATAGCCAGAGATAAGATTGTGTGTGACCAGGTGAGCCACCATTATTTCCTGCTACAGACAAGTTGAAACTCTGCAGCCAATGAGAGCCGCTCAACTCGCAGTGCGTTACCTCCACGGTGTCTGAGAAACCGCCATGGTGACAGCCATAACGCCAAAACGAGGCTTTAAAACGGACCTCCACAAATCAGTGGGTGACGTCACGATTGGTTCACACTGAATTGCAATTTAGATAATGCCTCAAGTGTCTGTCATTTTCAAGTCAAACTAAACTGCCCAACGTAGAAAAGATGAGCTGGTCACAGCTCCTCACATGAGTCAGTGTTCTGAGGCTTTGGTAGCCTGGTGGCCAACTTCCTCCAATCCAATATCTGAATTAATGGGATCAAACAGTCCTGAAAACAGTGAAAACGTTAAGCCGCCTGTGGTCTGCTGGTGGGGGTGGGTATTTTTAGGATTTTATTGATACGTGTATCGATACTGATACTGCTTATTGCTAATGATACTGATTGATACTCTTATTGACACTACTCACCATAATTTGGTCCAAAAAAGAAAGAGATGGGTGTAGAAAATAGACTATTTTGCAACACAAATAAGGACGGAGGCTGACAAACAGATCAATGTGAAAACACTAAATAAAAAAGAAACAATGTAGGAGACATCTGGACAACTGCCGTACATTCTAAAAAAGCAAACATGGAAGATTCTGGATGAGTTTTTAAAAAGTACGCGTGATAAAAATGTACTTACCCACTCTCTGATGCACTGACAATGTACTGTTTGTCAGTGCACGTGCTTGCTTTTGACAGGCAGGTGATGGAGGCTGTATGACCAAACAACATGGCCCGGGGACAAATCTGAGCAGAAACACAAGAGGAACGCAGGGGTTATAATAAGATGATGACAAACAGGTGACCAACGCACACAGCCACTAACACCACCACCTTCACCCTCATCAGTACCTCCAGCTCAGGTGTCATGTCCCAGAGGCAGATCTGGCCGTCATGGCAGCCGGTGATGATGGTGCTGAAGTCGTCCATCACCAGCAGGCTGCTGATGCAGTGGGTGGGAGCCATGCGGCCCCACAGCACTATGGGTAGAACCAGGCTGTTCCCCGACATTATTCTGATGTGTCTGGAAGGAGAGAGTGACAGAAAGAGAGACAAGGGGACAAAGTGAGAGAGACAACCGAGCGAGAGAGAGGGAGATCAAAGTGATGAAGTATGATCTAAGAACAGCAGATGCCACTGTAAAAAATGGCTCAACAAATGTTTTTATTTGTTGTTTTCTGTTTGCAAATACACTTGATAGCATGATGTCAGAATATATTATGATGTCGTGCATTTTCTGGAAAATCAATTGAAGACATTTTTAGATAATATAACCTGATGGAAATGTCTGCGTTTGGCTGATCCAGTGGATGAAAGACCTTCATCAGTGTGAGGCAAAAAGCCATAAAGCAGTTCCTGTTCATTGATCTGTACCACTGCCCACAGCAGGCTAATACAAGCAGAGGTATGAGAATTAACTATTATATATCAGCCAACCATACTATAGAGGCTAACGTTTCGGAGCATTTGGGACCCCATCATGTCTACTGATTGTGTTATTTAAATAAACAAGGCATGATCCTCCATGCAGTATCTGTCATGTTTGTACTGTATAAATCAAGGAGGCGTCTCAGGATGTCTGACACTCAAACAGGACTCCAACAAGTCATTTTCCATTGTCAGGATCTGACAATACAGAACAGCACTTACTTCCAAAGGGTCATATAAACTCCACATTCATTTGGCCACAGCCCAGAAGTATCAATTCAAATCAATTAGAATTGATTTGATTTTGCAAAAAATGAATCTTCTAGAAAGTTAAAGTGTTCCTGACACAAACAATTAGCATCAGTGTGCATGTATTTATCACACAACAAGAACTGTGACCATTACTAGGCTGTATGCAAGGAGATAGGAGAATATAGTTTGCAGCTCTAGAAAGATAGACTCGATGCCAAAAGATCGCTGAAAGTCAGTTCTCCTTTGCATCTAACCTGTTTTCAAGTGTCATCAAGTTTATCTGACCAACAGCTGAGTTCCAAACTAAATACACACAACTAGGTTTACATAGGCGATATGAGTGAGGAGCTCAGATACAAAGGAAATTAAATAAAATAGATTATTCCTGAGATATTTGGTCATTTAAACAATTTCCAGTTGTTTCAATGACTGGAAAACTAGTTTCTAAATGTCCAGCTTCTCCAGGATGTTTGGGACTTTCAAAGCGTTATGGACAAAAAGACATTTGGTGACGCACATTTCAAACTGTATGCCCAAGCATCTGAGAGGAGCTAAGAGTAAGGATACCTTTAAATATTAGCCACCCTGCCACAGATACTGCACCAATCTGCACGATGTGTCCTGTACAAATCACCTATGATAGCTTGATCGATTGATAGATAGATCGATAGATTAGCATAATGTCGTTCAGTGTGCAGACAGGTTCTTAGGGCATTTCTAGACTCTGCAAATGAAAATTACATTAAGATGTTTTATATGTGATATTCTTCCACCAACACTAGCACTATATAGCCATGGCAGGCTAAAGATGCTTTACAGATAGCACGTCAGTGCTAACGTTTAGCATGTTGGCACTTGATGTGTACAGACGACAGACTACAAGAGTGTAGTAACATGCTGACATTAGAATTAACATTACTCATAATCAGCTTGTCAGATGTAAAGCATTAGTCATGTCGTAGACACAAATAAACAGCCAGTCAGTCACTAATGACCGTCCAGTCACTAGACAGGCATAGAAGCAGCAGCGGCCGTTGCTTTGACAGTAAAAATCACACATCACACACTGTAACGTGAACACATCCGCGGTTTGTGTTTTCATGCTTCATTTGAATAATTAACCTTGGCGTGAACGTTACATTCAGCTTTACAGGCTGCGCAGCTGTTTACAGGCTGCTGCTAGGACCGCCACTGACTCCTCACTGAGGAAGCCAGCGATGGACAGCTCTACAGATATCTTACTTTGAAGCAACCCGACAGTTATTGTGACATGCTAGAGGACAGATTAGCTGTGCAGTGATCTGTGAAGAGCTAACTTAGCTAACGCTAAACTACAGCTGCAATGACGCGACTACCGGGTTAGCAAAACGGCTAACGGAACCAAAACACACTACTGAATGTTTCTATACGTACCAGAAACAATGAGTCCTACTGGAACATGTCCTTCTTGTGGAAGGCTTATCGACCAATGTTTCCCTCCGGGGCAAATAAAAACACAAACTATCCTGCTTGTCGGCTTGTTTTTAGCAGCTCGTGCCACTGACAAACCGAGCTGCTCGGTCAGCTGATCACGCGACAACTGAGATCCGCATCCGGTTCCATATTTTCAAAGTAAAATAATGCAGTATTCGTTTTCTTGAGCTCACGGCAACATCAGAAGGCATTTTCTTTGTTACACAGACACAAACCAATTAACATATGATTAAATAAAATAATACATACAAATATAAATGCATATAGTTGTTGGTAAAGGTAATCAACAAATAAATGTAAACACACGAGGGAATTATTCCTTGTTGGAAACATTTAACGGCATGTCATTGTTTGTTGCAGGCAACAATACCTGAGAAATATCCCTACATGATACTGAAGTCGAAAGACCCTGTCACATTTGTATTCTTTATTGAACTGCTGTTTTCTTACATGATGTCTCGATATGTTGTTGGTTTGGCAACAAAAACGTTTCGTTTTCTTTCTCAATCACCTTCCGGGACGGAAAACAAAAATCACACCCGCCGGAAGTTGTTGTTACCGCGAGCTTGAGTGTGGTTTCCTGGTCGCCAGTGTGCACGTGTTGGGCGATGCACTGAGGATTTTAGATAATTTCACCACAATTTAGTGTCTTTAAGGATTTCTTTGTCTGCTTAGAGACGAGCAGCTTGTAGTCCGTGCTGCTGGGCGCGTGTCATGGCGGTTGGAAGAGGGGGGAGGTTTTTATGGTCGCCAGCTAACAGCGGGGGCTCGAGAGCTAGCGTTAGCTGAGCCGGAGAACAACATGTTCAGACTTGTTCCCAGACTCATGGAGGGTGAAGGGACCGCGTCGCATGTACCATAAGGAAACCTGGCAGTTATTTTAACTCGTCAATGACAAATACAATGGATTACCAGTTTCCACAGCAGCTCTTTCCTTCGTTTTACAAGTGCGGACCGCCGGACTCGGTCCTGAAACACTCGGCTGGAAACTGGGGCTGCTACGACCGAGTCAGACCGCAGGTGGGTCAGCTGTCAGCGTGACACTACTGACTGCTGTTAATCAATGACTGTATGATATATGGAGACGCTACCTTAGATCGTGACAAAGCTGCAGTAGGTATTTTTAAAAACGAACTTTTTGTTAATATTGCTGACATTTTTACTGTGTTCCGACAGCAGTACATACGAGTACGATCATCTGTGATCAGGTTCCTCTGGCTCCTCCACCGGGCCTGAACAAAGACAACCAATCAGAGCCGAGAAAGATAGCTGCTGGTTGAGTTTCATTCATTCAGTCCAAAGCGTCGGTATTTGACGCCTGCTGATGAGACTCAACAATCAGCAGTCTAACTAAACATATTTTCATAAAAATGACCAACTGCAGCATTAAAGTTTATATAGGTCTCAACATTTAGGTTTGTTACTTCTTGCTTCTCGCTGTAAAATCCCAAATTGAGTTTTACATTTGGTTTGGATTATAAGAAAGAAGCTATTTTTACTTTGATCCAGAGAAGAATATTATTTAATTGTACCATGCTTCATCGGGTAAACAGGTACTGTAACTATTTATTTACAACCATTTAACAATATTTATCCCAAACTGTCTTTATTCAGCAGTCATCACTGTCTTTATCAATAGCCAAGATGGACACTCCAGTTGCAGTAAAACATGAGTTCAAATTCATAACAATTTGTTTTCTTAGCTGTATAAAATCTCAAATCACTGTTTCCCAAAACCCAAACTGACGTCCCCAAATGTCTTGTTTTGTCTACGACGCAGAGATATTCAGTTTACTGACTCAGTCATCAAGGACTAAAGAAGGCATTCACATTTGAAAAACTGAATTTTCTTTTTCTTGAGAAATGACTTAAAACGAATAATTGATTTTCAAAATAGCTGGCGATTACTTTAATAGCTGACAAGTAATCAGCCAATTGTTGCAGCTCTAGCTTTAAGGTTTTGGATCCGCAGTGTGAACGTGTCTTCTGTGCTGAATCTGTACTGTCACACTAATTTATTCTTTGTGTTTATGATTTCAGGGCAGCTCTGGTCCTCTCACCAGCTCCACATTCACATCCAGACATCAGGTCAGAGGGGAGACGTGGTGTCACACTGAGCCAGTGCCGGTTCCCCTCCTGTCCCCAAAAAACAGTGAGTCCCTGACGGCTGGTTTTACCTCACTGGAGGTTGTTCAGGTCTCAGACAGCAGTGCCCGTTCCACCCTCCAGTTCAGATCTGGAGCACTGGAGCAGGGCAACTCTTGAGAATAGATAGTTATAGATAAGAATATAATAATATCATAAGATGAACCTTTTATTGATCCCCGTAGGAGAAATTCAATGTAGACACAGCTGCAAAGGGGAATGTAGTGTAAAAACAAGTGACAAATTAAACTGTGAGATAATACAAAATTCTCCTTCAGTTACTTTCTGTATTTATTAAATCATCTTGGAGGAACTGTAAACATTCAGCCTGTTTATTTAAGTTTAAATGATATTTTTCAAAATCTTTTCCAGCTGTCCTTTGGCCTTCAACGCCTCCAGATCCACTGGACTTCACAGAACATGTGAGTGCAACAGTTGAGCACATAACAAAGCCTTAGTCTGAAATGGAAGACATGTTTTAACCTGTAAATGAGTATTATAGTACGGTGTTAGATTTCATGTTTATACTGTACTGTCTTACATACAAGCTACTGTAAGTTCTCATAAACTGGCACCTACCAAGATGAGTCGGCACAGTCACTGATTACAGTCACTGATTACAGTCAGTTGTTTGTGGTCTTTGGAACATGGATGTGCACACTGCTTCCATCAGCTGGAGTGTTTCTGTTTCTTAAGACTTTAAGAGCATCCATAGAGAAAACCCATTAGACAAACAATGCAATGTGGCGTTTCACACACAGTGTGCTTCATAACGTAATAAACAGAATGAACAGTCACCCAAACCAGTCAGATCAGATTCCTAATGAACAGAATTGGTGTGAACACAACCAAGCTCTGCAGCCTCAGATCTGTTTGTTTGTTGCCTTTTTGTTTTGTGGTTGGGGTCTATAAACAGGTTTTACGTTTAGATGCAGAACTTCTTCGTGGATCACTGTGAAGATGCCTTTGGGTGCATGGGTGAGATTCTGGGTGAAAACTTCAACTTTAAACAACGAACGAGAGGGGTGAGTTTCACAGAAACTTTATTTTCATTTGTTAACTTTGTTTGTTTGTTTGATGCTTTTTGGATGCAGTAGAAGAAGAAGATATATATACTTTGTTAATCCTTAATAAAGGATACAATTCTTTTCTATTCTTACACACACACACAGGCTGTTTACTACAACCAGTAAACAATTTACAAATGTCAGTTTGTGCTCTGTATGAAAAGATAAAAAATATTATTACGGTCTTTAAGAGTTCTTACATCTCCAGCGGTTCTGTTGCCTTATCTTTCTTGTCCGCTCTGTTGTCCCCTCATCAGCCAGCGTTATTGATCAACAATCATTAAAGGCCTCCATGAAATACAGAGATAGACATTTTAGCAGCCAATCCCAAATTGACAAAAATAAAATAACCCCAAATTGCTTGTAGTATATGTTGTTATTTAAGTGGTGATTAATCAATCACTGAGATTATTAAAGTACAAATGTGTATATATAAAAGGTAAAAACAGAAGTAAACCTGCTCTGAGCTGGAGGCAGCATTTATTTTTATTTTTTATTGTTTGTGCGTGTGTGTCATCAGAATGTGCGTGTGTGTTGTTTTGCAGAAACGGCGGAGGGATTCAGTCAACATGTGGAAGGTGAGAAACTTCCTGGACATGCTGAATGTTAAAATGTGAGTGGACCTGACTGATTGGTGTAATCAATCAATATCTCCTGTGGTCTGATCGGTGTTTTATTACGTCATTTTCCATCTTCTTTGCAGATGTCAGCAGTCGTACTCCTCCAAAGCAGTGGACAGGTACAGCGCCCTGCTGTCGGACGTGGTGCACGCCGTCCCTCCTCAGCTGCTGGGTGCTCTGCTGTACGAGGAGCTGACGGAGCAGAGAGACCGCCTGGTGTTCTCTGAAGGAGCCACAGGGGGCGCTCTGGCCTTTGTCCCTTTCTCACAGAGCAGTAGCGGCTCTCAGCATGGCTGTCTCCTCTATCCCAGCAACCAGGGACTCGACTGCCTCAGTATCCTGCAGATCACATGAAATACTGGAATTTTAAAGCTTCCCCTTTTTTAAAGTACGAGTGTGTAGGCAACCAACTGAACACCGCCCCTCTTCCAAATGTGTTCAGCCAGCCACTTTGTCATTCTGGGATACTATAGAAACATGGTGGTTCAACATTGTGGTCTCCATAGAAGAGGACCCGCTACCTGACCATAACCGTTAACATCTTTGGATTAAGGAATAGAAAAGTGGCTCAGGGTTGAGATACAATATGCTTTTCTCATATCAAACAATAAAATGTGACGTAGAGGAGAAGAACACCATGATGTGTGTTTCCATTGGTTCTGTTCCTTAATGCAGTCCTTCAGACTTCCACAGAGTGGAGCTGCAGCACCACAGAGGAGATTCTTCCTGTGTGGATGCCAGCAGCAGAGACCCGTTCAGCTTCCAGCTGAAAGGCCCCGTCAGACAGATCAGCTCTGCCTCCCTGTTCAGTGATTGTAAGAGCAAGCAAATACTTGGAAATGTCATCAGGAGGGTACTGTGGTTTTACAATTTCCTCCAGGCTGTGCAGTCGAATATTGTGTCTTTGTTGTTTTCAGGTTGTGTTGCTGTGCGGTCGGATCGCCTGTGCGGTGTTTGGAGGTTCAGTGAAACAAACGAGCCACGTCTGCTACAAGTCGTCAACACTAAAGAGGTCGCGACCTGCATCAGTGTCAGGTGAGAGATCATTAGGAAGGAGCATTTCTGCTGTGGGGTGGGAGAGTTCCCTCTGCAGACTTTTCTGTGCTGGAAAATGGTGCAACTGAAGAACTGTCCTCTCTGCTGTGTGTTGTCAGTCCTCATGTTTTAGGTGAAGTTCTGGTGGCGAGTGAGAGTGGAGTGGCAAAGCTGTGGACTGTCGGCAGAGGGTGAGGAAGTTTGTTTTTATCCAAGAAGGTTTTTACTGATTCCTCTAACAGATAGATGATGAAAAGAGAAGTCCAATCAGATGTCAAACTAAACTACATTGCGTGACACTCTGCCCCATCAGGATGCAGAAGGTTCGGGAGGAAGACAGCAACCTGTACTTCAATACCAAGTCGTCATGGCGTTGGTGCGAGTTCTCCGCCCACCCGAGAGTGATGCTGTACGCCGACCGGACAGGGGTGGAGCTCACTGATATCAGGGTGAGACAAGGGGATGTGGGGAATGGGGTCGTTGTCTGAAATATTTATCACCATTTCAGTGTGTACAAGTTTGGATGTATAAATGAAAAAGAAATTGAACCTGGGGGGGGGGGCATCTTTGAGTTGCACTTTGGAAACTAAACTGAGACCACTTAAAAATGAGGGTCTCTTTAATTGTGTGGACTAACCGCAGGATTTCTTGATAGTATATGATTTTAGCATGGTTTCATAAGCTGAATTACAAATTGTTACCAAGTGTTCAAGAAGCTTTCCTCATCCTCAATCTCGCCATCCCTTTTTCTTTCACCTCCCTGACCCATGTCTCATCTCCTCCCTGCTTCATTCCCTCACCCCTTGGACCAATGCTTTCCCTCCCCCTTCTCCCCTGTCCCTGCAGGAGAGTCCTGTCAGTGGTCACACTCTGTTTCGTATCAGCAACGCCTCAGACTGTCGCAGTGGGGAGAGACTCATCCTGTCCAGATATCTGGCAGACGTCCACTCCTTCCACCACCTCATCACCACTCAGGTATATTTTTATATTCATGCAACACTATTACAAGCAAACACACAGAACTTCATTTAAAATTCTAGAACCGACCCCAAAGTTTCCAAAAATACTAAATGTGTCAAGACAGGGTTAGGGTAACTCTTACCCGAGGCTAACCCTTTAAAGACTCTGGGTTGCTGAATTCATGTTCACAACCTGTAGATCCAACTTGAAACTAAATGGGAGGGGAAGATATGAAATGTTGATTTAAATACACATTAAAACAACTACTGACTTCACATTTAAAAATGTTCACGCTTCTCTCTCTCT